GGGCTGAGGCGTGTCTTCTACAAACCTTGACTTTCAGTTGAGTCATCAAAGTTGTGCCCTATCCCGCCCTGCTCAGCAGGTTTCCTGACTCTCCGACTGCCGGGAGTGAACTCCTTGGGGGAGCGTCCCTCAGCACACTATTCCTCTTTGACTCCCCCCCGCATGGGTCGGCCCTTCTGGATGGCTCACTAGTCGGTCCACAGGCCCTGGGGTGCCCCGCGTCGAGGTAAGCAAATAGCACGTCTCAGTGAGGAGGCGCGCCAGGCAGAGATGGCTGTCCTGCCCTCCCTAAGCCGGCCTTCTCCGCCCCCACCCGAGAAAATGGAGGCAGCTCTGTTGTGGGCGCCTAGCCTGGTGTGGTAGGCAGGAGCCAGGCGGGCGGGGAGCAGTCGGGCTTCGCCCCGCAAGTGGGGCTGGGCTGGGGGTGACTCACAGAGCTCGCAGAGTTGGGCCGGTCCAGCGCGTTTCACTCCGTTTCTGCGCAGTTTTTTCCTGGCTTTCTTGGCCTTTGTTGTCTGGGTTGCCCGTTCATTCCCGCAGCCGGGCTTGGGTGCTCTCAGGAGTCCTCTTCTGTGTCGGCCCCAAAACCTCGAACCTGCTGCTGCTTGTTTGTCGATGTAGGATCGTTGTTGAAAAAATTATTTGCCTTTTGTTGCTCTTGGAAATGCAATTAATACTCTGGTATCACAGCGCACAGCTCTCAGGATCGCGCTGTCTCCTGGACTTTCCCATTTTCTATCTCAGAATGTGTTTCTGATCTACTCTATATTTTATTTTGTTAAATGTCTTTATTGAAGGTATAAAGCAACTTCTGTCAAGACAATATTCCCTAGAATCATAACAGCAATGGATTCAGTCAGTGGTGCATATATATTTTTTGAACTAACCATTATTAACTGGCAATAGGCAATTGAGGATATAGAGACCATTTTTTAAATCCTTGATGCAAACCAAAATATGTACGTATAATCATTCTATAATATTTATTTGATCACTAATAATTTGGTTTTCAATCCTCAAGTAGGAGAGATATTTTTGCCATCAGTGTGTTCCCATGGCATATTTTAGAGAAATAGGAATTTGAAGGTGAGTTCTAAATCCCAAGAGAATATTCCCCAAAGAATAGATTTGTCTGTTTGACATGTCTAAACCTAAAGAAGATTGCTTTAGAGAAAATATTTTTTAAAATTTTTCCTTTGTACTGACTTTTAAAAGTTCATAAGATGGGGCTGGCTGATAAGCTCAGTTGGTTAGCGTGCAGCCTTATAACATCAAGGTCATGATGCTATAAGACATCAAATCCTCATGCATGGTTTCAGATCCTCATCTCCATTCTCTATCTTCTTTAAAACTCTTATAAATGAGTGTTTTTGAAAGATTTTCAAATGAAAGGTACATGCTATAGTTGCTAAAAAAATAATTAATTAATAAGCCTCTGAAATCTGCAAATGTTCAAAACGTATAGAAGGAAAAAGAGATGATTGTATTAGTAAATGAGAGTGAGGCTTCTGTAGGAGTTGGAGCAATTTAGGAGCTTCAGTTAATCCATCTTTTCTTCATCTCCTCAAGGTCAAGATGCCTTTTGTTACTAAGGACAATAATGATAGTACCACACATCTATACAACAACTTTTATTTTTCAAATGACTTATTTTTCTCTTTTCTCAATATCATTGTTAGGAAAATGGGACAGGTAGATTAGTTTTATATTTTTCAGAGAACTGTGCACAAATGTATTGAATAAAATTTAAGAAAAATGAGAAGAAAAGGAGGAGCAAGTAAAGAATAAGAGATTTTAGTGATCATTTAGGTTATTTTTGCTATAGTTAAAAATTCCCTGTTATTTTAATATTATATTATTGCCAGCAAAGTATACCCAAATCTCTACTTTAAGTTTATCATCCACTTGTAAGCATTATCAAGAGAGAAATAAATGATTAATTCAGTATAGAGATCAGTGTCATGAAGATTTTCAATCTTCTTTTAAAACTCCTATAACAGTGTTTTTGAAAGATTTTCAAATGAAAGGTGCATGTTATAATTGCTTACTTAATTAGCATTACTGGAATATACTGAAGGTATTCTCTCTATGTAAGAAACTCAAAACATATGATGATACTTCAACATATTTTGAACTCAGTATATATGTTAATACTCTCTAAATTCAAAAAATAAGGGAAGGTAAAGTTCTGAACTATAGAATTTGTCATTCTGAAAAACAAAATGAATAGAATTTAATGAATTTTTTATTATAATATACAATAATTTTATGTTACATATAAACAATGACTTGAATAGATCCTAAACTTAGTTAATGAAATTTAAAATAGTTTTGGTATAAAAACTACAATGTGATTACTTTGAGAATTAACTAGTTTCTTCTGGACAAATTAAAATTCAAAGATTACATTTCTGCATGTATTCTATTCTTGATATGTCTCAAGAAAGCAACAGCTAATGAGACTTGCAAAACCTGGAAGAAAAGGAAACAATAAGACATCAAAATTTAATTAATGAATAATTTGTAAAGCTAATAATTTCTATATAATCATCAAAACGCAAATTTTAAAGGGAAAGGGGATCAAGCAGAGTGAGAAAATTTCAGAGTAAGGTACATATAGTTGTGAATAAGACATATGAAGAATGAGACTTCTAGAGTAACCCACCTGTCATCAGGTTCACGTGTAGCAGAAACTAAAGAGCTTATTAGATTTTAAGTAAATGGGCTATTGTTGGACTAGATGCCTTGATGAACTGCTGATCTGTTTTTTGTCCATACTCTTTCTATGTCTTTAATCCTATAAAACTGCCACTTTTTGGTATAAGATCATGAAAGGTTTTGTGCAAAGGGTAGAAAATAAAATGGAGCACAAATACTATCTCTCTTTTAGTTTTGTCTTAAATACTGCAGTATGAACACAATAGATTCAAGACATGTAAAAACTATGATATTAGTGCTTGTAAGAAAGTCTTAGTTTACTATCAGTCTAAGACTAAAACTGTTACCAGTTGAAGAGATGGAACCTCAGGTCGGTGGCATTGTGGTCAACATAAAATCAAACTCAGGATCAGTATCCTACTCTGGCAAACCATGCATTATATATTTGTTCCAATTCTGTAGTTCCCAACATAAAATCAAACTCAGGATCAGTATCCTACTCTGGCAAACACTGATTACCTATGGCTCAAATTCTGTAGTTCCCAACATAAAATCAAACTCAGGATCAGTATCCTACTCTGGCAAACACTGATTACCTATGGCTCAAATTCTGTAGTTCCCACTATGATAATCCATCTACTCTCACAGTTTCTTTGAATCCATAGCCTGCACTTGCTCTTACCAGTCTTCACTGAGACTGGAGAATGGCATTTTGCTTCTGAATCCCAGTTCTGCAGTTGACACCCTGCAGGACATGGAATATGAGTATTTGGCTTCAAACTGTATTTAAACATTTAGTACCATACCTGCCACATAGCAGATACCCTCCTCCCTCTAAATTTATCTAATGAATACATTAACTAATGAGAATATGAGTGAATACTGGATCTTACTAACATCAAACATCTACTTAGATTTCAGAAGTTTGCAAATTGCATGCTGTCCAATATGGTGCTTTTACTGCTGAAATAGGAAAATATATATTCATATATATAATACAAGAAGAATATAGGAAGACAGATCAAAAGATAGTAGATTATCTTAAAGCAATGAAATCACTACCTCCAGGATGACCACTTATTAACATGCTTCACCTACCTACCTGATTAAGGGATCTGTCCAGCTGGACCTCTATCCCTCCTGGATGTGAATGGTCTTAAGGTCTTGGCTCCTATAGCATTAACTAGTCTGATTAATTCTCCACCTGGTTGTTCTGCAGTCTATTCTGTATGGTTTATTCTCAATATTTTTTATATTTAAACATATGAATAGCTTACCTCTAAAGCCAAAAGTCCAAAGTTAGTTCCAATTAAGGTTAAAGCATTAACATCATACCATGTGCTGATTTTATTTCCACAACCCTAAGGAAAAATAGTTACTTAAATTCATTTGGCCATAGAAATGGTCTTATACATAATTCTTTTACAAAGAGGAAAAAGCATGTAGAGATTAATAATTTGCTAAAGCCCAAATAGCAAGTCAATGTCTAATGTATAAAAGTCCAGACAGAGAGCTTTGTATGACAGCAGGACACCTCAGTTGATAATTTTAAGGTTGCTAAGATGTTGCCATATAATTGAAATCAGAAATTTATTAAGTTTTGGAAAGAGATTTGGTTTTCTTCAGATTGTTGCAGCATATCACGTTATATAACACCACCTAAAATAATTGTTTTTCAAATAGTAACGTAGATGCTTTTTTAAAAATGTAATGCTCCATTTATCTATAAATTATGTAATTGAAAGGATACTTCTTAAGACTAAAATAACCTCAGTGTATAAACTATAAAAAGTGTTAGCAATTCTTTGGATGGAAATGGGAAGTTTATCAACATCTCATACCCATAAATAGCAGTTGTTCCCAATAAGTTTTCACTCTTGCTTATGCCACACTTACCAGAATACCACTTTTGTCTCACTGGGGTCCCCTCAGTTTTTGCCAACCCTCATACCCTTTTGCTTGTGATATTGCAGCTCCCTTACCAATCCTATACACCAGGGCTTTGCCACTTTTGTCTCACTGGGGTCCCCTCAGTTTTTGCCAACCCTCATACCCTTTTGCTTGTGATTTTGCAGCTCCCTTACCAATCCTATACACCAGGGCTTTGACAGAAGTGCCTCCTCCTTCTACAGGATTTTGAAGGAAGGTTGAGGAAAATGGTTGAGGGAAAAAGTTCCAGAAGTGCTTAAATCACATACTCCCAGACAGTTGATTTAATTAATTTCTTATATACCTGAAATAATACTAGAATTTACCTAATTATATGTTCAATTCATTGAAGTGGCTTAAGAATGTAACCACCACGAATAAAATTGTTTTTATATTAAAATTTGCTCAGCCAAAAAATAAAAATAAAATTTTGCTCAGAATTCTAAATTGACTTGCAAAACAAACACACACTGTAAACACTTGGAGAAGCCTTGACTTCTCTTTACCTCTAGATAAGTTGCATTCAGTGGCTCATCACAAAACCATTTTCTTAATGTAGAATTTGTGCAAGAACATGGCACCTGTTCAGAGTTTTCTTTATTCTTATTCTTTATCCAATCTGTGTAATTGTGTTGGCCACAACACTGTAACTAAGAAAAAGGTTCTATAAGTTTTACTATAAAATATTCAAAATGCAGTTAATTATACAATTTCTTTACATATTTTTGTCATGAAGGGTCTTTATTAATTTATTCTCCCATTGAAATATAGTGAATTAAATAAGTATGTATTTTTTTGTTCTTCAATTCATTACTTTGTGCTGCTGCTGTTCTTGTCAGTCAGAGCTAAAGATATCGGTTGATATAACTGGTTATGATTGGATGAAATTTTATCTGAATTTTATCTTATGGGAGTCTATGATAGAAAATACACTTGATATGCTTATATATAAACTATGCTTAGGGCCAAAATATAGAACAGAGAATCATGTAAGACATATCTTGCTCCTAATTATAGAAGTTCTCTTTATATTTATTCATAATGTGTTGTCATTCAAGGGTTCTTCAAAAAATTCATGGAAAAATTTGCATTATCTTTTAATTCCATTTTTTCATGAACTTTTTGAAGTACGCTTGTACGTATTTAGTATATGTAAAAAGATCTTCAGGATTATTTCTACTTTCTTAGGATTAATGTGAGATGTTAACTTTAAATTTTGTATTGTGTAAAAACCTGCCACAAGTAACTAAAAAAAAAAGGACAATGAAAATAGAAAATAGAAATGATCAAACTTCTAAGAAATGTCTCATTTTCAGTATGGATTCTGAAATCAAGTTGAGTTGGGAGAATATGAAAGAATCAACTTGCATATTTCTCACTGAGGAAATAAGGGAATGTTGACATGAGTATTTAATTGTTTTCAAAATTTTTTATTGAAATTTTTAACATCGTACTGCCTGTTCCAATACGTACCAATTATCTTGATACAATCTAGGAAATGCTGAACAACTAAAATAGTGTTTCAGAGTTAGGGTACCGAAAATTACTTTAACCAACCAAACATACAAGTACTATCTCAATTATATTTATGGCTAAGAACTGTAAGCAGGAATCACAATGCTGTTCCACTCAATTTGTTTGTAAGAAATACAATCTCTCATTCCTCTGCCTATCCCCTGCCCTGATCTGTTCCCTCCCCTATCATGCAGTGGTTACCTTTGAGATCTGATTTTTAGTTTTATGTGAATTTCATCTTACTGTTTTCTGTAAAGTATCCAGAATAGTCCACTCGGCTATGTTTTCAGGCTTATCTCTATATCCATACTCAGAAATGACCAAATCAATTTTATCATGCCACAGTTGGTGAACCTGTTGAAAATTGTATTAAAAGAAAAAATTTCATAGAAATTTTTCTTGATGGTACCCCAGAAGAAAGTATTTAATGTCAGTTCACTGTTTTCTGCTTATTCCCAGGTGTTGCATTTTCCCTTCTTTATATCTCTTTTTAGCAACCTTAGTTGTGGTCTAGAAGAAGATTGTATTAGGCTTATACTATTACTAGAATAGAGGAAATAATGTGCTATTCTCCTGACTATCTTATGTCCTACATGAGGAAGTAATGTGCTATTCTCCTGACTATTTTATGCCCTATGTGAGGAAGTAATGTGTTATTCTCCTGACTGTCTTAGGGTTCTATATTTCTTTTCATACCCTCGGGAAAAATTGTAAAAGACTTTGAAATGGACCAAAAAATATTACTGAATGTCTTCTCAATGAAAACTAGGCTTTTTGTAGCATACTTCAGGAGTCCTTGATTTTACAGGGAACTGTGCCCTTTATGGTTTATAACTTAACTTATATTACAACTTTGCAAACTGTAAAAAACTATAATTTTGCAAATGATTTTTGGTCCAATAAATGCAAACGGATTTTTCTTGGTGAGGATGCAATTAATTTCTCCCCCTTCCCAGCCTGTTTTGCAACTATTAAGTGATGGCCTACATAAGTGTCTTCTTTTTGGATTCTCCTTTGAATCAGGTTTTATATCTTGCTGGTTCTCTCATTAATCAAGATGATAAATTAAATATTGTAATGTTCCTATCATATGATTTTTTACAGGAATTACAATTTTCATATTTTTAAAAAAATATCCTTTTACAATACTGACAGGACTTAAGAGCCCAAAATATGGCACCTTAACATACTGAGTATTTTCAGCTGTAGGAAATTAAGAAAAATGCAGAAGCAGGAAGGTCACACTCTGAACTTCTTCTGCCTTTCTCCTCTGAAGCATGCAAGAAAATAATTTTCTGATCAACCTCCCCTGAAAGTAGGTAATATGACCTCATCCCAGAGGTGTCCTGCTCTATACCCAGATGCCAAGAAGAATCCAAACAAACAGGCCTTGCTAAGTCCCCCCAAATTTATTATCATTAGATCATACCCTTTTTTCTTCCAGTCACGCTGTGGCATGATTGTCCATAAAAATACACAGTTTTCCCTGGGTCTTGGGGTCTTCAGAAGACTCCAGTGTCACATAAACTTTGTTTAAATAAATTTGTTATGTTCTTCTCTTGTTAATCTGTCTTTTGTTATAGGGGGTCTCAGCTGTAAACCTTGCAATGGGTGAGGAAAAGATATTCTCTCCTACAATACTAACCTGAAAATGATCAGACTTCTTTTTGAGGAAAAAACTGTTATTTCACAAGTTGGATAATACAGAGGTAGATAAATTTTGATAAAGTAAGTGAGTTAAGCATTTAAAACTTTGAATGATTTTCATAACCTATTCCTAATTTGGTCTTCTACAGTACCAAAAGGTAGGAAGAATAGATACTATTTGCATTTTATGAACAAGAAGACAGACATTTTGATAATTTAAGTAATTGCTTTTGTTTACAAGGAGCTGAGGCTTCTAAATATGGTTTATTTGAATACTATTCTAATGATTTCTCATTGTACTATGCTGTTTTTGAATAATAAAAACTAAACTGGTTTTTATTTTTTATTATTACAATAATTATAAAATATATAAGTTAAACTCTTGCTCAGTAACTTATACATCTGTGTTTTAATACATTTGAGAATATCAGAAGAATGTAAAAGGGAATTTAAATCTATTTTATTCTCAAAGTTAATTTTTATTTGAATAGAATTTTTTTTCCATTTTATATTGCCATTGGGGAGCAGAGTGAACTTATGGATTTATTTAGCCTCTAAAGCATTATTTGGGAGATCTAGAGCATATATAAATGCCAACTTAGTACATAAGTACCTTCATATATAACCTATGTGACTACTATGTAAATAAAATTCCCTTACACATATTCAATTTGACAAGCACCTGCTGAAGGCCCTATGCATCCTCAACACTGAGTTAGGTACTATAAATAGCATAAAAGATTTAAAAGGTCATAAGACCTTAATCCAGTTTGAATGCAGAAGACAAATTGATGTTCTAGTACTTTCATTGAATATTTTCCTCCCAAAGGCATTTACCTTTGACTTTTAATATAGGCTCAAAGGTCTCAATAATCTAAATATACAATTTCCTTTAGATTTCAAATGAAAGGATATATTGATAAAAATTCACTTTCCATACCTCCTCTTTCTTTGTGAAGATGAATATTGAAAATACAAACTGAACACCAAAGGCCCACGTTAACAGTACTGCATACTAAAACAAAAGAAAGTAGAGATGACGTCTATGCTTCTAGTATATATTTTAGATACTACAGCAACGGGAAAATGCACATCATATGAAATATGCAGCTTTAAAATTTATATAAGGATCACTGAGGTTTCCTGCCTTCATAAATATGATTGAAATTATTGAAATAGAAAGGTAAAGAAAAATAAATCAGTGAACATTTGGAAAAGAGTAAGATAAAAAGAAGCGATAGTACTTTATGAGAACCCTAATAGACGACTTGGTCTATTCTCTTAATTCAGATCTAAAACTGTTATAGAGGAAATTCAATTATCTCCACATCCACTTAACACACCATTCTCCTAAAACTAGAAAACTCATTAAATTTGTGACCTACTATTTCAATTATCCCATCTTGTAGAAAGTAGAAAGTATAACAAAAGTAATTGTAATAATAAACTTAATTCTGCATATACATTCAAACTATTTATTTGAAAACTGAAAATACTTCTATCCAATGCCAAATAAAATGATTTTCACATTTAGAAGACTATTTCCTTTTTTCTTAAATTTATGGCCACTGCATTCTTTTTCACTGTAGCAGCAGATATTGATATATAAATTATCTGGAATTCATAATAATTAAAAAAGTCAGCAGTCTGAATATTCACTAGTCAAAATATAAGTAGCAATGATTTACTGTTAGTATTATTAATTTCACATATTTTAAACATTTAATACCTTAAAGTATTCAATTAAAATTTTCTGCTTGACATAATTTTTTTTTTATTTTCAGAGACAAAACTATGGTCTATACATCTATGAAGATGTTTAGATTTATAATGCTTGTACATGCAACATCTTACTTAATCTTACTATTAGGAGACTTGTAGAGACAGAAAAAATTGAATGAAACAATAAAAAAAATTACTGGGTGTCTTAGATTAGGGTAAGAGTATGTAAAATCACCTTAAAACCATGGAATAATTCTTAGGCCTCTAAGATTGGTCCATAAATTGACTGTGGATTAATATGGTTAAAGGAAAAATGTATTCAGCCGAAAAGTATTGGTAAGTTCAGAGGAGAATGGCAGGAGTCATGATAGCAAAAAGTAGCAGTACCCTTCCAGAGAGTATCCAAAAGGCACAATGGTGATGGTGTTTTGGCTCTAGGCCCTAACCTGTCAGATCCTATATTCATCTATATCCTTATGGTGGTGTCTATCAGGCTTTCTCATTTGGATGCTATTAATACTTGAATCACATGAGGCAGAAACTTATGAGATGTTTACGTTTTTCTCCCTCTAGTTTCTCCATCCTTTCCCAACTCCAATCACCACAGTATACTAATAGCAGGCTCTGAATCTCCTTTGCCTAAATGAAAATGTGTGGAAGGAGAGAAATCGAGATTTCCCTGCAAGCCATTTCTATCCTGGTTTCCATATCCAAAATCTGAAGCCCAATAAGAAAATTATGCTGTCTGGAAAGAGAGAAAGATAAGACTTGAGAAGTGGAAGTGGACCTTGGAGGAGAATAAGAAGAGAGAATGAAGTCTCTTTTTAGACTAGAAAGATTCTGAGACTGATCCTGGAAGTCTATGGGTTCCCAGAGCAACAGGGGATAGCATTTGGCTTCTTGGCATTGCCGTGACAAGGTGAGAAGACCTGAGAGGGAAATGAGAGTATTGTTTCCAGCTTTGCCTAAAATGCCTGTGCTGGGGTATTCAAATAATGGCAGAAATTACTAACATTTGGCAGCAACTGATCTCTATGTCAGGTGTGACTTCTTTAATTTCAGTGTCATTGGGGAGATCTGACTCTCCCCAATGGGAAGGGATCCTGCAGGGATGGAACGAGGTCATAGCTATTTACCAGTCCTTCGCAAAAGGGTTTCACTGCTGTGTCTGCACTGGTACATACTTGATGGACATCAGACCAACCTTTGCCACCCTAGGCCACTCAAACAGCAGAATGAGTAGACCTGAGGGGACCATGTGGCCTGGGAAAGTGAGTGCGTTTGTGGTAACCCGTGTAAAATAACCAGTGTCCAGAGTGATCACACAGACTCTCACCTCTTCATAAAATCTAAGTATCTCTGCATTCTTCCTGGTAAGGGACAAAATAACTGCAGTTGAACTTCCTGTCTGCTTGGCAGTGAATTAAAGAAATTTGATTTAAAGAAAATTTTAAAAGCTATATTTCGTCTGAGTGTGAGTTGTAATGCATACCTGCCACACGTATGGTAAATACTTCATGTTCAGGTCTGTATTGATTCTAATTGGCCTTTTCATGTTACATGCTTCAGGAGAAAGAATGTGCTAGCCAAATGCCAGAGTCTATCCCTCTCGGCGAGTTACATTTCTTTTTGTTAAGAACAAATTGTAGTTTCAATTACAAACTAGTTTTCCTCATGCCATGCCTACAGGGAGAAAATGTGCTGACTATAGAATATGATTCCCTGTCCTTGGTAAGCTACGTTGCTCACTGATTTTAATATACTTTATTCTGATACTAGTCAATATACTTAAGTTTGTTTTATTGTAGTTCACTGTAGGAGATGGATTCCTGATGATTCTGTTTTGAAAATTATATATCTAAATGTGCAAGTGCTGAGGTCCAGATTTGATCTTTGGAAAACTCACCAATAAATCCTACCTGAAAAGTTTCATAGGAAGGGGTGCTTCATTTGGGTTAACCCTAAGGAAATACTCTACTACAGTGTCACGGTGACATAAATAGCTATTGCTTATTTTTGTAAACTTGGACACCTAAGATCTATGATACAAATTCAGGCTATCGAAGCGAAATACGTACCAGAACCAGGAGCCATCTGATTTCATTGTGAATTCCCAAATAACCCAATACACAAAGAAGAACAGTAGCAGATCCCATTCCAATCAAAAGTTGAGAAATATATACTATGAAGCGATTGTTTTCACCTGTGAAAACCACAAAATGACTTATTGTAAAGTGATATTTTGTTTTCTATTTAGTAATAATTGCAGCAACCCAAGGTTTCCCTAAGCAGCTGTTGCCAAACTACTAGGATTCTTTCTCTCTCACTCTTTTCTACCTCATCCTAGCACCTCTCACTTACTCTTAACAACAACCTTTCTTTCTTTTGTGACATGCTAGAAAATATCTTTGATCTCAGATCTCTTTAACCTTATTTTCATTACCTCTTATGATAGAAGACAATTTTTCCATGGGGACCATTTCTATATACCTAGCACCTCTCACTTACTCTTAACAACAACCTTTCTTTCTTTTGTGACATGCTAGAAAATTTCTTTGATCTCAGATCTCTTTAACCTTATTTTCATTACCTCTTATGATAGAAGACAGTTTTTCCATGGGGACCATTTCTATATCTAATGTATATATATTCAAAGATTCATGTATTCATTCATTCATTTATCCATTTCATCAAAAAAAAAATTAGTACCTAACATGTGTCTCTTGTACCCACCCTGAAGTTATTGCTAATAAGGCCCCTTTAAAGCTCTTTTTTTTTTCTTGTACCATCTAGACTGTGAGCCCTCACTGCTAGAGACTTTATATATATATTTATATAGTCAACAGAGTAAATCGATAACTTCGTATAATGTATGCTATACGAAGTTATTACGGTGGGAGGATCTATTTAAACCATGGAAATGGCAAATGCCATAAATCATGACTCTCCACTCCATAACTGGTTGTTAAACATTTACCAGCATACTATTGGGCATCTAATCCATTAGGTTAAAGGGTGTGGACAAGATTACTGGAGAAGGTAACATTTGAGTTTGGGCCTTGGATGATCATTGGAAATATCCAGGTTAGACTGGTGGAAGCATTCCTGAGACATACAACAGCATGGTGTGTGTAGGAAACTCAGCTTTGTTGGCACTTAGAGTTTGAGGCAGATAAGACTAGAAAGGTTTCCAGGGGTAAAATTATGGGCACTAGGTTTTCCAGTCTTCCTCACTGGAACTAAGCTCCATGAGGACAAGAACTTTATCTTTTTTATTTAGTACTGTATCCTCAGCTCATGGGGACAGTGCCTAACAAGTACAAGATGCTCAATAAATACTTGCCATATGAGTAAATAATAGCAATGCGGAGCTAGAGAAAAGCTAGGGGATTACATGGTCAAATTTTTATTTTAAATTAGTCATTCAGAGACATTTGGAAGATGGCTGAGAAAGGAGATCAGAGCATAAGGGTACTGGAGGCTATTACAGTGCCAGAGGAGAGATGGGGGCTATGCATCACATGGAGTTATAAAGAATGGAGAGGTGATGGCAGAATAAACTAAAAAGTAGAATTGACAGTTTCAGATACAGAAGAAAGGAGTTCCCAAAATCTTTTGCCTCAAACTGTATAAAAATACAACTTAAAGGATAAATTCCTGACTACCTGCTGTGATTTGAATGTCCACCCAAGCTCATGTTGGAACTTAACCTCCAATATGGCAGTGGAAGGTGGGGCCTTTAAGAGGTGACTGGATTTCAAGGACTGTGGCCTTGTGAATGGATTGATCCATTCATGGAGTTATGGGTTGATGGTTTAATGGGTTGTCATGGACACAGTTCTGATGGGTTTATAAGGAGAACAAGTGAGAAGGTTAGCTCTCTTGCTCATGCCATCCTGGCCGTGTGATTGCCTGCATTGCCATGGGACCCTGTAGAGAGTTCTCACCCAGAAGGCCCTCACCACACATGCCTCCTGAACTGTGGACTTTCCAACCTCCAAAATTATAAGAAATAAATCTCTTTCCTTTATAAGCTACCCAGTTTCAGGTATTCTGTTATAAGCAACAGAAAAATGACTAATAAATTACCTTTTCAGGGGCTTTTTCCACAAGCAAGTTTTAATGAAAGTTAGCTGTCAAGTCTATAATAAAGGGAAAGGAAAAAAAAAAAAAAACTTCTGGTCCATCTTACTTGCTACATTGTTAAATATTATATGGGAAGTCCTTAACCCATTGCTTGCAACACAGTCACTATTAAATAAGTGGAAGCTACTATCATCATTATTGTGGGGAAAAAAGAGAGAGAGAAAGTTTGTCATGAGATCTGCACACACCTATTTACTGCGAGCAAACTGCTAATGCACTCAGACATCGCACATACTTTTCCACAAGCACGATATACAAACAGAAGACAATAAAGATACGAGGCACTTATTATAGCTGAAGTTTAGCTAAATTATTCAGTAATCTATAGTTCTTTATTACATATTAAACCATTATATTTAGTTTTTTATTTTCCTTATAAACATTTTTTTCTTGATATCCACTAAGAAATATGTTGGCTCTGTCCCATACATTTTTTTTGTTGCCCCTTTTAATGATTAACAATGTTGCTCAGCAGAACTTACTGAGATAATGAATATGTTCTATACCTGTGTTGTCCAATAAGGTAGCCAATACCCAATAGCCAAATATGGCTATTGAGCACTTGAAATGTGGCTTTCTTCTTTCCAATGGGGGATCTTACAAAAAAAAATAATCCTTAGCTTTTAGGTTCCTAAACTTCAGTCCACAATGATCATAGCACACCACATAATGAAAAAATAAGGGCACTGTGAAGATTTAAAGTTTTTTTATTTTATTGTATATATAAAGTTAAAGGTGTTTGATTATATTCATATTTGGGGGACATTATATTTCATTTGTTAACCTATCATGGTGGGAGTAGATGGTAACGGAGTTTTAAAAGAAATTATTTAACTTGGGAAGCATAATTTTGGTGCTCTCCATTATCTTTTCAAGTCTACACATCTGTTAAGGTCCAGAGTTAGCAGAACAATCCACAATCTTCCCTTTCTCTCATCCCTTTCGTCTACCAACAGTTCCTAGCTCTCCCTCCCAAAATTCTCTCTCCTTTATGGTTTTGGATATAAGTCCTATTCTTTAATAATGTATATGTTTTTAAAACCAATTGACAAAAACCTTCAGAGGAAACACTAGATGATGACAGTTTCAGATACAGAAGAAAGGAGTTCCCAAAATCTTTTGCCTCAAACTGTATAAAAATACAACTTAAAGGATAAATTCCATACATTTCCACCTTCTTATCACATCACAGTGTCTTCATCCACTACTAAAACAATATGAAGAGGGGAAATAACAGACATTTTCATTTTGTTCTGGATTTTAAGGAAGTATTTTCATATTTGGCCATTAAGATTATTTTGTTTCATTGATGGAAATTATTATCATATATATATAATTTTATTAAAGACCTTTGTTGAATTAAAGAATGTTTTATGTGATGTTACATTTCTTTTAAATATAGAAACAAATTGTCCTAATTGTATAAACTCAAATTAATATATATGATCATTTTATTCACTGTTGGATTGTTTCATCAAACTTTCTCTGATATTTTTTATATGTATGTATCGATGACATGAGTCTATAAATTGCTCTTTCTACTGTTTTTTTTTTTTATCGGTTTCTTCATTGAAAACTTATTAGCCTCATAGAACATTTTGGGGAATATTTTCTTCTCATCTTAGATGTAATATTATGAGTAAAATTGGCATACGTATTGTTATATTTTTTATAAAATTATACCTCAGGTATTTATTATGGAATAATTTTAACTACAGCTTTTATCTCTTTAATTATTATAGAACTAATAATGTTTCTATTTGCTTTTTTATTCATTGTTGATTATTTAAAATTTTTCTGAAGAAAAATTCTGACCAATATTTTCAAATTTATTTTCATAAAGTTGACAATAGTGTCTTTAGGATATAAAAGCTGCTATTCTGATAGGCAGTATAATAATTTCCTACTGCTGCTATAACAAATTACCACAACCCCCGCCCCCAGGATAGTGCTGGTAAAGCCATGTGTTCATCGCCAGTTATATTGCTCAGAGAAATGCTTTGGGATCTTGATCCCACTATAATTTCTATTGAATGTTCTGCTCTTTACTGCAGCCGATCTGGGCATAACCATTTTGGCATCCATTGAGCAGAAAGTTTGCTCAAGTGTAATTTTTCAGTCAGAATTGTGTAAGCTGAACCACTTTTGCTGGCTATTGTTTCTACTATTGTTTCTGCTGTTCATTGTCAGTCTTCTTCAATTAGGGCACAAACAAAATTAATTTTTTCCTCCAAAATTGATGTGGATGGTCTGCCTCTGCAGGCTTTATCTTCCACATCGTCTTGTCCCTTCTTGAAAGGATTTGTTCATTTGTAAACTTCTGATTTCTTTGGGGTCATTGTCCCCATGAGCTTTTCACAAAGCATCAATGATTTCACCATTCTTCCACCCAAGCTTCACTATTTTTAATTAATTAATTTATTTATTTTGGTGGCTGGCCAGTGTCAAGCCTCACCATATATTTGATGTTTGTTTTTGCTCCAAATTTAGCCGAATTAGATAGGGACACTTTTCAAACTGATAGTCTTATCTTTCTTAGTTCTGCAAACTAGATCCTGTTCAGACATGTTATAACAAGTAAGTATGAGTTTATTTTGGTGTAAAAATATTTTGAAATACACATGCATGGTATTTTTATCACAATATGCATTTTCCACACTTTTTGAATACCCCTTGTATTTTCTTGTTTAACTGTCTTTTTTCCCCAGGTAGAGTCAGAGGTATTTAAGTGGAGACAATAGATCTTCTATACCATTATATACCCCAGATCTACCATATAGTAGGTACTCAATAGATATTTGTCGAATGAATGAACGAATGGATGAGTTAAATTATTTAATTGGTCTATAATTTAGTTTGGTATACAGTGTGAGGAAAGGAACAAATTTAAGGTTGTTTTCAATAAAAATTATTTTCCAGAGAACTAATTTTCCTAAAAATTGTATGGAAAGATCAACACTTATTCCACTGGTTTTTCATACCATACTTTGTTTATTAGATATGAAGGTTTAAAATTTTTCTAGGTAAGTTTCTGGGTGTTTCCTTTTCTCTTTTTATTGTTTCAATCCCTGATAGCACCATATTTTAAAAAGTATTGTAGTTTACAATGTTTTGATATATGAGTGCATAATTGACAGGATAAAGCAAATTTAATAAGATGAACTTGAAGCTATTTGTCCCTAATTAGGAAGAAACCAGTCTGTTTATTGAACCGAAGGGTGCTTTGGGAATTGGAGATAAGAGATGTCTATGTTAGGGTCTATCCACTTCCCTTCCTCCCCTGACCTAAAGCCATAATCCCCCTAAAAATTCTCATGGTCCTTCGTCCCATCTTAATGAGTGTCTCTACTCTTTGTCTTCTACCTCTGCTTTGAGCTCTCCTGCTGTCATTTGGTTTCTCCAGTTTCTGTTAGTCTTATTCCTGGATACCTCCAATGCCTGGCATGTTTTAATGGGACACTCCGTTGGAAAGATAGCCTGATTTGCTATTTCAGTTTCTTCCAAAGATGCTGTAAATCTATATTTTTTACTTCAATTCTATTTACTGAAGCATGCGAAAAAGCTGTGATCCTCTCTTACAGCCTAAGCAAATACTTAGGCCCAAAGTCCTAGCCTTTCTTTGTCTGTGAATGAGAAAGACAATGGTGATTAATGAACCAGAAGACTCTGCAGTAACTCTGGCGTGAAATGTTGAAGGCATGGACTTAAGTGTTGCTTTAGTAATAATTAGAGCATTAGGGAGGGTCAGCTGAAATGTTCTATCAAAAGACCTAAATATTGTACAGAAATAAACTGAAGTTTATTTTTCTCTCAGTCCAGAGTTAGTGAATGATTTTCTTCTAGAAAATCATCTTAGAAACATGGGACTAACTCAAGCCTGTTCAATATGTGGCTCTCAAATTTGTTCTCATTGCCATCTTTTATAGCTAGAAGAAAGGAAAAGAGGATGAGTAGACTCAGGCAAGCATCTTTTAAACAAATGGGATAGAAGCTGCAAATTTCTCTTCTGCTCATATTCCATTGGTGCAGACTTGGTTACATGGCAATACTCAACTGCAATTAAAGGTGGGAAGGGTGGGAAGGGCCAAATAAAACTCCCACTAGTTTGGAAAGGGCACTTGCAAAAGACAATTATAAGGAGAAAAAGAGGGCTTGGATAAAGTTTCAATATGTTTTGTTATGGACTAGGAGAAATCAAAGATGATCATAAGGATTCCTGTAGGATGGAAAAATAGAAGAATAATGGTAATCACTGGAAATAGAAAAATTGGGAAAATCATTTGGAAGAAAAATTCATAAGTGATATCTGTGTTTGAAGTGATATCTGTGTGGTTATGTTCTTTAAGGTCTGGAAATGGAGTATAGTATAAATGGGTAGCATAGTCTTTGCAGACTTGGGAGTCATCCATAGATAGCCAATGATATGGGAGTGAATGAAAGAGAAGAGGAATTGTCTATAGATAGACAGGGGCATAGGTTTAATGGTAAAGAATGATACAATTAAGAATTTGTATTTTTGGGGGCCGGCCCCATGGCTCACTCGGGAGAGTGCGGTGCTGGTAGCGCCAAGGCCACAGGTTCGGATCCTATATAGGGATGGCTGGTGTGCTCACTGGCTGAGTGTGGTGCCGACGACACCATGCCAAGGGTTGCGATCCCCTTCCTGGTCAAAAAAAAAAAAAAAAAAAAATTAAAAGTTATGGTTTATGATTGTGTTTTTGTAGAGACAGAATGCAGGCTGCATTCATTATTATATATTCATTAATATTAGTGTCAATATTATGTCCAAACATTAACATTATATGTGCGGATTTTAAAAGACATTAATTAAACATTTTCATGGGCCCTGGGGTGTGGGGCCGTGTGCTGAGTGGGAGCCTCGGTCCTGTCCCTACTCACGTCTCCAGCCCCTTCTATGACCAACCCAGCTCCCAGACGTTTCCTGCCAGCCTGGGCCACCACTTGAGACCTGTTCTCAAATGGGGGGGGACACTGGGTGTTGTCTGGGGACATTTGTAGTTGTCACCACTGGGGTTGCTCCTGGCATGGAGTGGGTGGAGGCCGGGGACGCTGCAGTGCCCAGGACACCCCACCACAGAGGACGATCCAGCCCTGATGTCAACGGTGCCAGAGGGGAGTCCCTGAACCAAGATCAATCCAATGAGAGAAAAGGAAGATTTCTGGATTATTATCTCACATGATGTTGCTAAATGCATTCTTAAGTAGATCCAGGTCTTGCCCCGTTCCCCACCCGACACACACCTCACCGGGCCTGGTCCCTGCGTTGCCGGGCCTGGGTCCCTGCCTCACCGGGCCTGGGTCCCTGCCTCACCGGGCCTGGGTCCCTGCATCACAACGGCTAAGCGCTCGTGAAATCCTGGCCACAGCCAGCAGGTGGCAGTGCAGGCGGCCACTAGTGACCGATCCTGGCTCCAGCGCGCCGCGTCCCAGAAACACCGCAGTCTAGACACTCGCCAGGCCGAATTCCTCTCCCCTGAAGTCAGTCTGCGCGGAGACGTTCGCGATTCCCGTCGCCAGTCATCCTTTTCCATGCAGCGTCCCCGAGGCTGTCTGGCCAGGGCTTGGATCCCTCGACCAAATTGCTTAGTAAGGGTCAGGGTGGGGGGAGCCCCAGGCTCAGTGCCCGGGGGGGACAGGTGCTGCCGGGAAAGCAGATCAGGAGAGGGACGCCACCCAGCAGGCTTCTCAGCCACGTGCGAGACTCCCCCAGGGCCAGGACGTCTCCAGGGCTGTCAGCGATCAGCCTGGGGGAGGCGGGTGGTTGTTTCTGAGAATGTTGACGGCCCTTGTCCCCAGGTGGCCGCCCGGCCTGGCACGTGGGCCTGGTAGGAACCGAGAGTGTCAGGTTTAGCACTTGGGAGACAGGTGTCTGCACCCTCAGCCAGACTGAAACCAAAGCTGGCCTAGAAGAAGATGTACCCTAGGGGCCGCCGAGTCCCTGAGGCCAGTTCAGTCCAAGCCCCTTCTGAAACGAATCGGCATCTCAAAACCATTCGAGATGGTCTTTGGCATGTTATCAGAGACCACCTGACCGTCCGCTAGGGGTGAGACCCTGCGAGATGCTCCCAAGACATCATCATCTCCAGATTCTTCAGGGTGGCCAGTCTGAGGGCCAAGCCCTCGTCACCCAGCGTGCTGGTTTCCTGGGGCTTCTGGAATGGCGAGGCACATGCCGGGGGCTCCGATGAGAGAAGCTTTCTGCAATTCTGGAGGCTGGAGGTCGGAGATCGAGGCAGGGCAGGGCTGGTTGCTTCTGAGGCTGAGGGATAATTTGTCCCAGGCCTCTCCCCAGCTCCTGGTGGCTGCAGCAAACCTTGGCGTTCCTTGGCTTGTAGAATACCGGCCAGTCTCTGCCTCTGTCTTCACCAGGCGCTCTCCCAGGGTGCATATCTTTGTCCAGATTTCCCTTTTATAAGGACACCTGTCATTGGATTATGGCCCACCCTACTCCCGTGTGACCACGTCTTAACTAATTTTGTCTGCATTGACCTTATTTAGGCCACGTTCTGAGGTCCTGGGGGTTAGGATTTCAACCTAACCTGAATTTTGCGTGTAGCGGACGAGGGGACACATTCAGCCCATAACTCCGGACACTAAACCCCGGCCCTGTGGGGTCCTGGGCTGGGAAGGAGGGTTCAGGGGCACCTCCTGCCTTGCTCTCTGGGAGCCAGAACCCTGTGCAGCCCCAGGAGGGAGGAGGCAGGGGGCAGGGACTCAGCCCTGGGTGTGGGTGGCACAGCGCCAGCAGGGCCCAGGGACGTGCCCGCGGGTGCCATCTGCGAAACAAATGTTCTAAGAAAGTGCTGAAATGC